CAGCAACTATAGGACCATAGCACTAATCTCCCACGCAAGCAAAATTATACTCTAAATACTGCAACATAGACTCCAGCCACACATGGAGAGAGAAATCCCAGAGGTTCAAGCAGGGTTCAGGGAAGGAAGAGGCACCAGGGATCACATTGCAAACATATGATGGCTAATGGAGCTTAGCAGGGAATTCCAAAAGAAAATCAGCATGTGCTTAATAGACTATAGCAAAGCCTTTGACTGCATACACCATGAAAGGCTATGGAATGCCCTTAAAGACATGGGAGTGACAACACATCTGATAGTTCTAATGAGGAATCTGTACTCAGGATAAGAGGCTACTGTCAGAACAGAACAAGGAGAAACATAATGGTTCCCAGTTGGCAAAGGAGTCAGACAAGGCTGCATCCTTTCACCTTATCTGTTCAACCGTATGCAGAATATATTAAAGAAAAGCAGGCTTGGACACAGAGGAGTGAAGATAGAAGGAAGGAATATCAACAATCTGAGATGCTGATGACAACGTAATACTAGCAGAGAACCTCACAGACCTAGAGTAACTACTAAGCAAGATCAAAGAAGAAAGTGCAAAGGCAGGATTACTGTTGAACATAAAGAAAACAAAAATAATGACTACAGAGAACTTACACACATTCAAATTAGACAACAAGGAAATAGAAATAGTAAAAGAGTTCTCATATCTGGGGTCAAGCATTGATCGGAATTGGAAAGATTAAGAATGAGGAGGGTAGCTATGAAAGAACTAGAAAAGATCCTAAAATGCTGTTGTTATCATATAAAATAAAACCTTAGCAAACTTTTTTTCAGATTCTTTATCTAATTCTATATACACAATTCTATATGTGCAAAAGTGGAAGAAATCAGAAATACTGGAGATGGAAGAATGGAAAAGTAATTTATTAGATATGATAGAAATGGATAAATTGACGCAAAAATTAAGAAACGAATTTTTGGGGAAATTCGATTTAGAATGGTCGGCATTAATTGCATATATAAATTATTATTATTATTATTATTATTATTATTATTATTATTATTATTATTATTATTATTGTATAAAGGAGCAATGGGGGTAATATAGATAATTAAATAGGATATTGTCGAGTAGGGATAAGGAGAGATTGTTTTAATGTTAATGTTAAGATTTTGTGATGTAAGATAAAGAATGTATGTTTTTTTATATATAAGGGAATATAAGAAGAGACACTTAGAAGATAGGGTAACCTATAGAGAGCCTAATCTTAATTTGCAAACAAAATGATATTACAAGGTCTAATTAAATAAGGAAGGATTTAAGAAAGATGACAAGAGGTGGGTTATAGAAAAGGAAGGGGGAGGAGGTCAAGGGGGGTGTATGATTGTCGTAGATAGGAGTTAGTAGTAGATAGCTAATAATAATAAAATAATAATGTTGGTTGGTAGGTAGGCAAATATAACTGTGTCATTATATGTGAAAATCAATTT